ACTTTTTATTTTTTGTTTTTGAGACACGGTATCTCTCACTCTGTCGCCCAAGCTGGAGTGCAGTGGCATGATCTCTGCTCACTGCAACTTCCACCTCTTAAGATTCCAGCGATTCTCCTGCCTCCACCTCCTGAGGAGCTGGGATTACAGGTGTGCACCACCACACCCAGCTAAGTTTTGTATTTTTAATAGAGACGGGGTTTCACATGTTAGCCAGGCTGGTCTCGAACTCATGAGCTCAAGTGATCCACCTGCTTAGGCCTCCAAAAGTCCTGGGATTACAGGCGTGAGCCACAGCACCCGGCTAAGCTTTACGTGTATGTATTCTTTAATCAAATATCTATTGTATAAGACATTAACTGCAGGTATAAGGAGATAAGACAAAATTACGGATGTTTATTGAGTGTCTGCCATGTACCAGGCACTGTGCTAAGTTTATGAATGAGGTTTGGTATCTTCACTAAGATTTACAACTTAGTGCAAGAGGCAAGGTGTAGACATACACTTCCTGCAGTTGGAACGCAGTTCTTATGAGGAGGAAGAGTTGGTTTGAAGTTGCACCACCAGAAGTTTATATGCACCTGACCTACCTGAAGTCTACACCTCCCTTTCTAGATGAATTAACTCTAACAGAGGGGAAGCCAGCAAGTTAATGCCTGATCACACCATTTATACAGTACTGTGGTTAACAATCTGTCTTCCCTAAGTAACTCATTTAACCTTTGTAACAATAAGAAGCAGTTATTCTAAGAAGCCTTTGTGTCTTTCTCTGAGATGGAGAAAGGCGCAGAAGGCTGAGTAGAATGACAAGGCAGTCATTATGGTAGAGTTGGACCTAAATTTAAGGTAACAGTCTTCAAGCACAGTGCATTTCACACCGCAATACAGCTGTTACGAACATTTGCTGAAATAAAACAGCTTGATATTCTCCTGACTAAGTCCTCTCTCACTGACACGACAGAGAGTTGGGTTGAGGTCGGGGCGGATTTAGACCCTCCCCCCGCACCAGCAAAGACACATAAGGAACCCGCCTTCCGGAAGGACGGGGGAGAATTCTGGGTGTGCGCGGCCCTGGAGCGCGCGCATGCGCGGTAGCTCCCGCTGCTGAATAGCTGAGAGGCGCGCTGGGGCTGCCAGCTGGGCTCGGAGTGCAGCGGCGTCAGGATGGACAAGGACGTGTTGCACCCTGAAGAGCCTCATCATCGGCGAGAGTGGGGTGGGCAAGTACAGGTGAGGCGGGCGTACGGGCCGTGATGAGGGTGGCTGGGCTCTTTCTGCCTACGTGGCCGCTGTCTCTTGGGCCGCGATGGGAACCTTCAACCGCTGCAAGCGTCCACGATGGCGGCTGGGCTGGGGTCGGCCCTACTCGCGCCCTCCTCGGCCTCTGGGCCTCGCTCTCCTGCGGCTTCTGCTCCCCTCTCCCCACCCGCGCGCCTGGTTCCCGGCCTCTGCCAGGCCCAAGTTCTCTGCGTCGCTCTCCCTCCTGTGGCGCCGAGAAAACACCATTCGGAGGGCCGCCGCTCCGCCGGCCGGTTTGCTGTGCGGAGCTCAGGGCTTGGCGGGCTGGTTTGGGCCCGAATCCGGCCGGGGGAGCGGCTCGTCTCGAGCAGCTCAGGGTTCAGGCTGCCTGTCACCCCGAGACCCGGGAGACATAACTTTCCCACTTGAGGGTTTCTGTGGGGCCTTCTCTAAATACATAATGCCCTCGGGAAGTTTCGTGAGGCCTTAGGTCCCATTCCTGGCCTGTTTGGGTGCAGCCTAATGTCGCTTCTTTTACTTTTTTATTAGTCGGCTGTGGAAGAACTCCTGGATCTTGTGACTGCTGGAAAATTTCGCTTTAGTGTAAGGTCTGAGTGCTTCAGCCGTGGGTCACCTTTGAAAATAAAATGTAGTTGTTATTTCTCATTTTCCCACATCCTATGGAGACAGAAGATTAGTGTTGTCTTTTCATTTTTGACTTTTTTCCTTGGGGAAAATAATATTGACAGTGGAGTTGAGTGTAAGGTAAGACATGGATCTAGGTGGATGTTGCTAGAGGGTTGTGATTTCGTCCAGGTCCTGAAACAGAGTTCTCCAGATGAATTCATTCTTGCCCTCTGATTATGGTAGGTTATGTTCAAGGCCGTCCTGATCCTTAAACTGCATTTACACTCCAGGAACTGTAATCAGTTTCATATCTTCTGATACACGTATCCTTTTTTTTTTTTTTTTTT